GGAGATAAGATTTGACAGTTGGTGCTGAAGGCCTGGGTGTTTATTTATCATTACTTAAGAGTGACTAAGCTCTTTCTCATAATTTAAGCACCCAAACGACCTGGGTGAATATAACCAATATAGCTTGGATTCTTGTAAGATAGCAATTTATTTGAATACCTGTATAAACAAGCTATTTGGCAATAGACATAACAATTTTATTCATCAGTAATCATTTTGTTACGGTGTTTATCAGGTCCATTGCTTAGCGTGCCAATATATAAATTCACTAGATAACGAAGCCTGGCAGCACAATCTAGCAAGAATACGTGATGCATAATGCGGACTGTGCCCGCCGAGGGCCATTTAGGTTCGCTATCATTCCATTATTTGGAATGTTTTTTTTTCAATTTAAAAATTTAATTGTTTATTCCTTTGATAGTGAAGGATCCTAGTGCTGTCACTTGGTACCCCTGGTACCATAACACCAGAAGCAACTGGCCAGTGTCACAAGTATATACAATACAGTACAGTCATCCCTGATTATCGCTACTTAATTGGGGACCCTCACAATCTAAAGTACAGAACCCAGGATTTACTCTAATTGGTTCAGTACCCAAGACCCAACCCCAAGTTTATTTTACGAGTGATGACCCACTAAATATATATATAATGTTATGAAAATACTGTAAACACACATAGGCATGGCTAGGTTTATTATAAAAATGATGAAAAGGGCACGCTTACTGTAGTTCACAAACATGGGTAGCTATGCTTTTTTTTTATTGGTCCCCGTCATACGAGAAATGTTTTCTTCTCACATCAGACGCCTGAGTCCTCCGCTTTTCTCTAATCCTAGAGTGCAACCAGACTTCGCTAGTTTTAGTAATGCCACAGAATTTGAATTAGAATTCAATTGCAACTGGGGTTGTAAATTGTTGAGGCAACTAGATATGTCTGATTACTACAAATGTGTTATTGTCAATTTGTAGGTGAAAGATTTTTATCCTCAATAGATGTAGTTGTCATTACTCCTGGAGGCAGCGAAAAAGACTAAGGAAGGAAGCATATTTTAACACTTAATATCTGACCAGTATGGGGCGGATCATCGTGTTCCATCAGGGGTTGTGGAGGGTGGTCCAGCAGGCGCCACAGATTATTATTTTTGGGGGCCGCCACGATATATCGAACGTGTTCGCCGATCGTTAACCGGCGATGACTGTATATATAAATATATATATAATCATCCAACCCATGGATCAAGGTGTTATTGCTGCTTTTAAAAGTGTTATTTACTGCTAACCTTCACTTAGGCTGTTGCTGCTACTGAAGGCAAGAAAACTCAGAGAGTTTGAAGGACTACAACATTTTAATGCAAAGAACATAGCTGCAGCATGGGATGAGGTTACAGGTCAGTGCATCGAGGATCTTATTGAACAGGATGCACAGAAAATTGCAGAGGAAGAAGAGAGACAAAATGTAAAAGAAGAACCTGCACCCCCTGCTACTATTAATAAGGGGATGCAAATGTTTGAAGAAATGGATCAAAATGTTGAGCGTTTTGCAAAAGTTGAGACTAATCCAAGATGCACTTGCTTGCTACAGGGAGATTTACAATGAAAAGAAAAGGCAAACTGTGCAGTCTAAATTGGACATATTTTTTAAGAAGTCCCCCCACTGCTGTCTCCTCACACCCCACCACTGCTGCCTCTTCACTCCCTAAAGATGATCCAATACCTTCAACAAGCAAACACTGTATGTTAGCCTGTCTGAAGAAAGCGAACTTGATGACCCACCCAGCCCTGTCTCCTCCTCTGCTTCATCTAATTAATGTAGTCTCCATGTTTAATTAAAAAATTATTGGGGCCCCGTGTGCATTCAGCTGACTACTTTAAAGGTAAGTGCACAGTAACACTTTATTAATTTTTCATTATTGATTACTTTTACTCTACCGTATTTAATTTTAGATTTTCTATGTATTATTTTTTGCATTTTCGACTTACGACCAATTCGACTTACGACCTGGATGTCAGTCCCTAACCCCGTCGTAAGTCGGGGATTGACTGTATATTGTATTTACATGCACAAAATCACATGTTTTCACCTACAAAACCACTTTAAAATCACTTTCAATAATTGTATGACAAAACATACTAAAGAAAAAAATCCACAAAATATCCTTGTAAAATAGGGGTGCGTCTTATGCGGTGGTGCATTTTATATGCTGGCAAATACGGTACTTATACAACATAATTAAATAACACTCACCACATCATTAAGAACAAGCCTGGTCATCATTACATGTCCCCAACGAGGGTATGGAGACTCTTGAAGGTGGAGTGGATACGTCACTCTGATTCCCACACAGCCTCTGGGAATCTCATATTGCTTCACAATGTCAAGGTTCATCTCCAGAGACATGATTTTCCTGGGTGCCTTGGCCTTCCCAGACATTTTCAAAATTACGCTGTTCATTTAGCAGTCACAAAAAACAGAGCGAAAGCACTTGTCACAAAAACAGAGTGAATGATTAAAATGTTATTGCAGCCGACACTGTTCACAATAACGGAGACAAAGCACTTTAGAGTCACAAAAAACAAAAACAAAAATCACTTGACAGTCACCAAAACAGAGTGCAATGTGAGCATTAATGATGTCCTCTCACTGTATGATTAAAAAAAATAAAAATGCCCCTACTTGATATTCGTAAGGCATACCCCGTTTATTCGCAAAGAATACACAGGCTAGCTGCAGCTAGCTGCAAGGCCCACTTCATATGAGTGTGTTTTTTCCATGTGTGAGGACCTACACTTCTTAGAAATTAATGAAATTCAATGGGACCATTCACATAGAGTGCACATGGGAAACACTCATTCCATGCCTGTACCTGTATTTCCAAACTGCAGCATGAAAAAACATGCAGGGTGTTCTAAAATTCTTCATATTTCAATGGTAAATGCTAGTTTAAATGTTTACTCATTTACAACCGTCACACACACACACACACACGTACTCACTCACACACAGTGTTATTTTGTACAGTACATTATATTGAGTGAACCTGTATATAAAAAATATGTTGCTATAAAATAAGAAATAGGAAGAGCATGGGTATGTATGTATGTGAAGTGAACATACAGTACAGCCAGATAATTTGCAGATTTTTATTTCGCGGTCTTCTATTATTCGCGGATGACACCCTGGATGTACCCAAGAATGTCTAAGGGTAGTTTTAAAGTTGCTGGCATTTTCGCGGCCGGGACAGGGAGCCATTCATTCTAGAGACAGTAATTTCCTTTACCTGTACTGTATGTGTGTGTGTGTGTGTGTGTGTAGACACACACAAAACACAAACAAATAAATAATCATGGGAAATTTCTCTCACAAATATTTTTGGGTAGATAATGTATTCATTATTTTTCTTTTTCTCTCCCTCTTTTTTTTTTTACTGTTATATGCACACACAATCGTTCATACAGAATATGCGATCATGGGAGAGGAAGGGGGAAGCGGGAGGGGGGTGCAGGTTCGGGGATCTCAGCCTCTCCCTACTGGAGCAAGCTGTGAGCTGCATTATTGTTATTTTTCAACTCAGATATTTTCTTCTTTTTTTTTTTACTCTGTTACATGCAAAAAAAAAATATTACCATCAGGTCAAAAACATAAAGGAAATAAACATTTCTTACGTGGTTGGTAGCTAGCTGTGCTGGGATCTTAGCCGCTCCAGTCTCCCATATCATGCATGAAGTGAAATTATAGCCAACTGGCAATGCAGTATTTTTTCTCTTCTTTTCTTTTATTTACTGGTACTTCATTATACATGTGACCTGGTCCCTAATAGCCTTGGATAATGAGGAGCATATATAAAAAAATGTGTGGTGAAAGTTGTTGCCTGGGAAGGCATCCCCCCCCCAAATTACATTAATTCTTATGGGAAAAATTGTCCCGATATTCACAATGACTTTTAGGAATGCATCCTTTGCGATAACCATGGTATTACTGTAACTGGAGAAAAATAAACAGTCCTTTCGATACAGATGTCTACTGGATAATTTATATAAATGAAACTAGGACAATGTTTTATATTTATTAAACATTATCTACAGTCCCGTATATATGATAAAGTATACAATATAATATAGAAATAATAAATAAAACTAAAACTATACCCTGTATAAATATACTGTACAGCAGATCCTCATTGTTTCACGGTCAAATGTTCCACTGTCTTTATCTTATGTTACCCTAAATTATTCTCAATTTTCTTTATTGTGTGGTCAAACCCCTTTAGTATGTGGTGGAAGCCCAGAAAAATTAAATACCTGTAGTTTTAAATAAGCTATTTATTCATCAGCTGATGACAAGGGATTATTAGATAATGAAAAGCAAGAGTTCCTTTACATCTCACTAAGTAACAGCATGGGCCTTTCCCCCAAGGCTAACCATGCTTGCACTTACAGTTGACTCCAGGTGAGTTAGTGTTTTTAGATTAACTATTCATGAAGCAATTACAGTAAAACCTCTCTAAGGCGGAATAACTGGGCGGAGGGGGTGACTGGTAAAGATATAAAATTTAATGGGAGAGAACGATAATAACGCTCACGAAGCCATCAGACTATCCCTAATAATTCTGCAGGTACACAAAGTCACAAACATCTTAAAGAGTTCCCCAGAAGTTTCATAAAGTACTCTGTCTATGATCTCCCAGTGGAAAGCATTAGTGCAGGTTCATTCCAATACACTGAATGAATGCTCATTAGCCTGCCCTTGGTTAGTGACTCCAAACCACAAAAAACTATTATATACATAACAGACTGAATTATTTCTGTACATCCCAATTAATAATATGTATCATGGGTACAGAATTCATAATACTGACCAACAGTCAGTAAATCACTTCCATCAATTAAATATTATGCCATTTAAATGGCAGTCTAGTGATATTTTGAAAGACAAATTTACTTTTTCTGATAATAAAAACTGCATGCCTGATGACAAATACAATCAGAGTGCAACAGATAAAAAAAAAAAAAAAAAAAAAAAATCTGCACTTATGATCTCCAAAGCAGAAATAAGAGATGAAGCAAGCAAAGATGATTGCTGTGGATAAGTGGAATGTTAATTCAAGTGGAGCAAGTAGTGAACATGGAATGGTTCCTGAGTCCATTTTCATGGTGAGGTGCTTGCAGATGCACAAATCCTGATATTAGAGGGTCACAGACCTAAGACTCATTGGTGTCACCGAGACAACCCTCATACCAATGGATATCTTTGTATTCTAGATATGAATGGTAGAATAAGGTGGTTTACTCTTGCACTCCTTGCTGTTATCTCATAAGTGACAATACAGACTCAGTGATGGATGCAGTATGTGGTGTTAACAGGAGTCACTCGTCAAGGACCACGGCCAAAAATTAAATATAATATCCGTGATTAATAATATCCGTAATTAAGTTAACTGACCTAGTTCCATTGGAGGCTTTGTAAAGCCAAAATCTCTACACACTTCATGGAGGTTTAAAGCATGAATACTGAATATCTTCCTGAGCTTATGACATTGGTAAGCTCTAACAAACTTCTTGAATGCCATCTTTGCCATCTGTTGAATTTCCATATTATCCAAAATAAGGGAATCAATCTGAAATAGGAAATTAGAATTAGTGTTAATTCATGTTTCTGTGTTATGGAGGAAAAATGGTGATAATCAAGAGAAGGTATGTACAGTACATGATCCTTTTAGATTTTGTGTTTATAATTAAGGTTATCAGACTGGAGGCCTTGAATTTTATGGTCATCTATATTATCAGTATACAGTATAAAGGTATTCAATTATAAGTCAAGCACTGTATTATCAGCGTCATAAAGAACTATACACAAGATCTGGTAGTATTAACCTGTACACCACAGAATTAAACACTATACCTGTACTTGTGAAAAATGATACCACCTACAGCTTAGGTCATATGTAGCCAAATTAAAATAAAGGCTTAGAAGAATAAAATCAAATAATGCAAAGGTAAAAAGCATAAGTAACAAGGAACATAGAACCCTCAGAAGAGCAGTGGTGGTGCACAATAAACTTACTGCCACCTTTGCCTCACTCATATCCTCAACCACATCTATAACTACACCCACATCCACATCCTTAACCACATCCACATCTATAACTACACCCACATCCTTAACCACACCCACATCTATAACTACACCCACATCTATAACTACACCCACATCTATAACTACACCCACATCTATAACTACATCCACATCTATAACCACACCCACATCTATAACCACACCCACATCTATAACCACACCCACATCTATAACCACACCCACATCTATAATCACACCCACATCTATAACCACACCCACATCTATAACACCCACATCTATAACCACACCCACATCTATAACCACACCCAAATCTATAACCACACCCAATATCTATATCACACCCACATCTATAATCAGCCAATTACATCTATAACCACAATTCCACATCTATAATCACAATTACATCAATAACCACACCCACATCTATAACCACACCCACATCTATAACTACATCCACATCTATAACCACACCCACATCTATAACCACACCCACATCTATAACCACACCCATATCTATAATCACACCCACATCTATAATCACACTACATCTATAATCACACACATCTATAACCACACCCACATCTATAATCACGAATACATCAATAACCACACCCACATCTATAACCACACCCACATCTATAACTACATCCAACATCTAGCAACCACACCCACATCTATAACCACACCCACATCTATAACCACAATTCCACATCTATAACCACACCCACATCTATAACCACACCCATATCTATAATCACACCCACATCTATAATCACAATTAAGATCTATAACCACACCCATTATCTATAATCACAATTACATCAACAACCACACCCATATCTATAATTCACACCCACATCTATAATCACAATTACATCTATAACCATACCCGCATCTATAATCTCCATAATTACACTGATAACCACACCCACATCTATAACCACACCTACATCTATAACCACACCCACATCTATAACCACACCCACATCTATAACCACACCCACATCTATAACCACACCCACATCTATAACCACACCCACATCTATAATCACACCCACATCTATAATCACAATTACATCTATAACCACACCTACATCTATAACCACACCTACATCTATAACTACAACCACATCTATAACCACACCCACATCTATAACTACAACCACATCTATAACCACACCCACATCTATAACCACACCCACATCTATAACTACAGCCACATCTATAATCACAATCGTATCTATAACCACAACCCCACATCTATAACCACACCCACATCTATAACTACAACCACATCTATAATCACAATCACATCTATAACCACAGCCACATCTATAACCACACCCACATCTATAACCACACCCACATCTATAACCACACCCACATCTATAACCACACCTACATCTATAACCACACCCACATCCATAACCACACCTACATCTATAACCACACCCACATCTATAACTACAACCACATCTATAATCACAATCACATCTATAACCACAGCCACATCTATAACCACACCCACATCTATAACCACACCCACATCTATAACCACACCCACATCCAGCAACCACACCCACATCTATAACCACAGCCACATCTATAACCACACCCACATCTATAACCACACCCACATCTATAACCACACCTACATCTATAAGCACATCCCCATATTCTATAACCGCCAACCCACATCTATAACCACACCCACATCCATAACCACACCTACATCTATAACCACACCCATATCTATAACCACACACCCACATCTATAACCACACCCACATCTAAAACCACACCCATGATTCATAACCAAATCTATTGATCCATAACCACATCCCACATCTATAACCAATAACTTTATCTATAACTACAACCACATCTATACCCACAATCAAGACGATAAACCACAGCCACATCTATAACTACCACCCACATCTATAAATACATTATGCTACTACTACTAAATTACTACTATCATCAGCTCAGCCTTCCCAATAGCCACACCTTCGCCACCATTTATTTACCTTAATATTAAATATCCTAATACATAATAAGCTATCCTATCTGTGTTAAATTAGTTGAGCCGCAGATCTATGCGGCATTCAGTGACTGTAGCCTCATAGTCAATATCTGCAGCAGTTGTCGGAGTAGGGGCAGAAGCTCTCGTTCCCCTGAGGCAGAGCGAAGGAGAGAGAAGGACAGTCGACATCTCATCCAGGCTGAAACATAACTTCTGGGCTGCTGCTTCTGTTCGGAGATCAACTCCGCGAGTCTGGCGTAGAAACATCTTGCACTTGGGCCCATCCCACCAGAGGTTGTGAACACTAGAGGAGTGAAGCTGCCTTGATCAACGTTTTGAATTCTCTCCCCATATGCCCTTCTCTTGTCGTTCTCGTTCCTCCTATGTGCAGCATCGAGAGCTAGGTTACGGTGACAAGCGGCCATGGGATCAAAAATCCTGATGTCGAAGAAAGCTCGCTGTCCCCGCGACCAGAATCCTCGAGCACTGACGTCCACATGGGCTTCGTTAGATGTGTTTGAAGTCCTGTGTTGGAAGATCTCGCCATCCAATGGAAGGAGGGTCGGTTCTACCATGACGTCCCGGCAGATTTCCTTCAACATATTTGCTGTGAGATCCCTTACCTCGTCATGCCTCATGCATATGAAGCCCCCCTTCTTGCAGACCATGGCGTGATCGCCATCATAGGAAGAGCCACACACGCATTGGGAGGGTAAACCATCTACTGGCCAACCGTACTACTACTACTAATACTACATTTTTTTTTTTAAATGGCCTCCAGCCTCCCCCAACATCCGGAACAATTGGTGCAGAGCACTTCCGGGAATGAGAGATTTCCAGGTAATGAGATGACTCTCAAAGCCGGAAGAAATCCCTCATCCCCGGAAATTTACGGGTAACGGAAAAATTTTCTCAGAAGTTCCAGAAATTGCCCATTACATCATCTTTCAAACCCGAAAAAATATCCATCTCAGGAATTTTCCGGGTATCGGGAAAATTTTCTGAATAACGTGCCCCAAAAGAAAATCGTTCCCAAAACTGGAAATTTTTGGAAAATTCCATCTTTGTGGAACGATTTTCCGAGAAAATTTAAATTCCGCTATCGGAGAGTGCCAAGTTTGAGGGATTCCGGCTAACAGAGATAGTAATACTGTACTTTGCTGTCACTCGGAATCAAGTACTGTATGATGATCCTCCAGCTATGATACAATGATATGAGCTATTTAGGCCCACCTTCGTTGGTGAGCTCTGAGGTGACTCGAGAGGCTGATACGGGATCGGCAGAGTCGTCCACAGATGTTGCACATGTGGAGGCCTACATTTAGTGTTGTGTGGGAGGAGCGGCGGCAGCGTCGCTCCAGCGCTGGCACTTGTCTGTCTTAGTATGCAGTCGAGCTAATTCGAATGTATTGACACCTTCTCGTGTGGTACTCCTCCAAGTGTTACGATGTGGAGTAATCGTCTCCCAGGTGAGGGGGTCAATTTTGCACTTTTTCAGGTTTGTCTTAAGACTATCGTTATACCTTTTCAGGTGCCCGCCAGCGTTACGTTTACCATTCGCTTTGGCAGTCTACTGTCGTCCATGCGAGTAACATGGCCAGTCCAACGTAGTTGTTCATGGATAATGGTAGCCTCGATGCTCCTATAGTTGGTGTCAGCGAGAATATTGGCATTTGTTTTCTTATCTTCCCAGCGAACTCGGAGGTGAAAGTTTTCAAGTGCCTTGAAGTGCCTCCTGTATGTGATCCATGTCTCGCTGCCATAGAGCAGGGTGGGGAAGACCACTGCTCGATACAAGTGTAATTTTGTAGATAATTTCAGCTCCCTACAGCAGAAGACACAGGTACAGAGTCTGCCAAAGGCTTGAGATGCGCGTTCGATCCGGTGTTGAATCTCTTCATCGATGTCCACGGTGGTGTTCAGGTAGGAGACAAGGTACTGGAAGTGGGTAACATTTGAGCTGGATGGATGGTCGAGGTGTGGTTGAACCAGGGGCAGGCTGAAAAAGAATCTGAGTCTTACTTGCATTCACCTAAAGGCCAAAGCATGCATACGCATCTGCATAGGTGTTTAGGATCTCCTGTAAGTCGCATTCAGTGTGAGAGACGAGAGTGGGGTCATCTGCATACTAAGTTCACTGATTGAAGTTGCCGACAACTTTGTTCCTGCCTGGAGTTGTCTTATGTTGAAAAGTCCCTTCATCCGGGACTGGATGTCCACCCCGCCGACTAAAGTGTCACTGGCATGAGTAAGGAAAGCAGCCAAGAAAATGAAAAAGAGAGTTGGCGCCATTACACATCCTTGTTTACCCCAATTTGAAAGGGGAAGAACTCAGACTGGGTGCCATTGTGCAGGACACTGCCGTTCATGCCATCGTGGAGTTGCCTCACAGTGGCAATGAATTTTGGTGGGCAGCCAAAACGGCTGAGGGTCTGCCAGAGGGTTTCCCTGTTGACCGAGTTGAAGGTCTCAGTAAGGTCAATGAAGGCCTTGTACAAGTCACAACACTGCTCTCTGCACTTTTTCTGTATTTGGAGGTCAGCAACGATCATGTCAGTGGTGCCACTGTAACATTTCCTAAACTCTCATTCTTCAGGATCATAAGCTATATAAAAAAAAAAGGTCTTAAGTTGCTTTTAAAGGCCTCCACAGAAGTCAGCTGCTTTATGGATGCAGGCAACTGATTGTACAATCTGGGTGCTGTATAGGAAAAGGACCGAGCCTGTGAAACACTAACCTGGTACCCTCTGTGCAGGCAGTGCACTGGCCCAGAAAATGCAGCAGAGACCAGGGGATGGACATAGCTCTGGTTGACCTGGTTCCCATCAGGCATGTTGAAGCAAAGTTTTATGGCTGGATGCCCTTCCTTTTGCCAACCCACAAGGTAGGAATAGCTGGCAAGGCAGGGTTGCAACTATCTGGGGTAAACTTAGACTACCTGCCAACCTATATGATAGTCTAAAACTTTGTGTTTGAATTAGAATTATGGACAATAGGGTGGTAGGTTCACTTCTCTATGCTGAGCAAAATGTCACAGGAGGTGTGTCTTGACATGCGGGGCAATTACTTGATCCCCCAGTTGGAAGTTCAGAGTTGTAACCATTCTCGTGAACTGAAGACGAGTATCAGTTGAATATGCTATGGTCCATATTGATCTATATTTAGTTCGCTTTCCTTATCAGCCTCTAAGATAAATGGCTAAGAGTATAAGGAGTAAGTGCCTAGAATATAAGGTAACGACTTCACAAGTGCCTGTTACAAGTGGTGACAACCCCAGGTTGTTACATATATGAGTTTCACAAGTAGCTGTTATACAATGGTAACAGTCACCTAATGGCTACACAGTTGGTCACAGTTGAGATAATCTGTTCTCCTGCTACTGTGTAACTGTTACAAAGATCTGTTACATGTACTATGTTAATTACTAAAAATTTATGTCTAGTGGAACCTATGGGATGTTTATACTCAAATTAATTGCTATCTTGCAAGAATTCCAGCAATGCAAGTTATATTCTGCTAAGTCAAGTCAGTGCCATTTTATAAGCAAACAAAATTAAACTCTCCCTATTGTATAATCCTGAGTCCCTGACCCCTCCCCCCTCCACTGATAACTACACACCCTGTAATCTCCCCTCCTGGCTGTCAACACCTCACCTTCCCCAACCCCCCCTCCTCTTAGCCAGAAGGCAATAAGGATTTTAGAAGGTGAAGGTGGTTTTAGGCTTTAAGTTTTTCTTATAAAATATCACAGACTTGACTCAGCAGAATATAACTTGCATTGCTGGAATTCTTGTAAGATAGCGATTAACTTGAGTATAAACATATCATAGTTTGCACAAGAGATAAAAAATTTAGTCCTTTAGCATAGTACATTTGAGTACGAAGTGAGTACAGTAATATGCTCAAAATTATGACTTCTTCACAGGGGAAAGTCTGCATAAGTAACCCCAGTGTTCAGAATATTATGGCATTGAATGTTACAGAGTACTCTATTTCAAATACATTCTTTGTTTAGTTCTGTACATATATGCAAATTCCCATATAGTGAATGCTCATAAAGCGAGGGTCCAATGTACAGTAAACTTATGCCACAGCACTAACACTGTGTCATAAAGAGGTCCAGTAAGCTTGGGCTATATTTATGCTGATGCAAGTTGTATTGGTAACAGTACATTTTATGCGTTATTTTGCCTTTTTTTAACCTCGGCTTCGATGACTCAAAATTTTCGCTAATCCGGAACCGGTCTGGTCCCAAGCTTCCCGGATTAAAGAAGTCCAACCTGTACCTAAATATGGCACTGGTTCATGATGGAAAGGGCTATGGCACAAGAAATGTGGAAAGAGAAAGAATACTTGAGTTCGAACATGGTGATATGAAACATGTTGTTTAAGATGAGGGATTGAGGGTGGGTTGACAAAACTATCACGAACAATAGAGGGAGCCTACACAGGCCAATAGTTTCCTTCACTTGGCATGGCCACCTTTAGTTTGGGTGGATATTAGATAATTAATGTAATCTTTGTGTGAGTTACTGCTAGATTGATAAATAATGTGGCAAAAGGAAAAGAATAAAAAACCGAGGAGAGAACAAGAAAGGGAAAGAAGTTCACTGAGGATAATCATGCACCACAAACAAACATAATCAATGATGCTCACCTTTTCTTGTGTATCTTTTAAATTTCCACAAAATTCCAACTGTTCAAGCTCCACTTTCAGATTCCTGAGAACATCAATAAATTGGTTTTCCTCTGGTCTCAAGAAAAGAAGTGCCTGACCAACTTGACTCTCCCCACGACCAGTGCGACCAATGCGATGAATGTAGTCCTGTGAATGGTATACACCATTAGACAACTTAAAGGCTGCATAAGAGTGATCTAAAATTTTAGCCTATTTATAAACTCAAACCATCATTGGAATGACTTCCCTCCATGTCCTATGCTGTACCTTTGACCTTAGTCCTGCAAAAATCAATATGTTATTTCCTTTACCAGAGAGGAGGGAAAGTGCACAGCATCTCAGTTGGGAGAAATTACAATGCAGAATAATGCTTTGACAATGCTGATGAGGTTTCCTCAGCTGGGAGTAATCATCTAGCATGAGCACTAGCCATGGGCCAAAGTAATATAAATAACAACATAATAACCTAACCTAACCTAACCTGGAAGGTTCTCAGGGATATTATGGGGATTATAATTTAGAGTCATGAAATTTTTGGTCCATGGCCCAAATGTCCACTCTACATACAGCTCGTGGCCCAAACATCCGAACACTATTCTGGCGTGAGTCTGCCTATGCCATATCGTAATTGTATTCTCATAATTGCCTCATCGGAATGAGAGAGCACAACATTATTCTACTCTGTAAATTGTCTGTAGTGATTTGAGTACCAGCAACCCAGAGTTGGAGTTGGGTGGTGGAGGCAGGGAGGAAACGGGAGTAGGGACTCGAAGATTCCCTCCCGTGCACAATATAAAAGCAATTAACTTTATTATTTACGGCCTTTAAGCATCAGCTATATCACCTTGCATCATAAATTGAGCATTTGGTGATAATATTTATAATACAGTAATATCTACTTCAGCCAGAATCCCTCAAGCCCGGAACTCTCCGATAGTTGGAATTAAAATTTGCCCGGAAAATCATTCCCAAAGCCGGAATTCTTCAAAAAATTTTGGCTTTAGAAACAAATTTTCCGAGGTTGAAAATCGAGAGAATTTTCTGAAAATGTCTTAAATAAAGATGAAAGTTCATATATTTTTTTTGTGGGGGTGGGGGGGATGGGGGGGGACCTGACCTGACTCAATGTAAGGTGGAGGTAGGGTGGGGGATTAGAGGTCTCATATTACTGTATACAGTGGTCCCTCGGTTAACGAACACAATTCGTTCCACAAAGTCGTTTGTTAACCGAAAATTTCGTTAACTGAAACCATGATTTCAATGGGATATTGGGTAATTGGTTCCAGCTCACAGAAAAGTACATACAAAGTAAAGCCAAAAAATGCATAATGTCAGAAAAACTCCTCTGACTGGATGAGAAAGGGTGATGCGCTGCACAAAGTAGTCCATGATGATGTAATACTGAACTGGCGGGACATTGTCCGAATCATGGGTATCTAAAGAGTAGCGACTTTATAGCGAAACAACGTTGTCAGGGGCAACGTTAAACGTGGACTTACTGTACTGCTGGGTAGACAGAGGCAAATGGCATAAAGAAACTTGCTCATAGTTTCACCCTGCCCGAGGATTGAACCCGGGTCCACTTGCTTGCGAAGCGAGCAATGCTGACCATTACACACACACACACACACACACACATGCACGCACACAGTATATAGACTAATTATGAACATATGCAGACTCTGAGGGAAGTTGCTCTATACTTGATAGCTTCTTCTAGTCTTGCCCTCCTTCAAGATTTAAGTCTATTGAAGGCTCCATGACAGAAGCATGGCCACTTTAAATCCTTTTAACTCTTCTAACATTACCATGTTAACCAAGTTCAACATCAGGCTGCTAGATAGTAGCCTTTTAATTTCCAAGAGGAATCTCACCAGTCACTCTCAGTTAGTCATATTCCAGTTCCAAATAAGCACACAGTACATTACTTACCTCAGGCTTGTGTGGAGGATCATACTGAATTATCCAATGGATACCTGGAATATCCCATCCTCGCTCTGCCATTCCTGTTGTTAGAAGGGTTCCTCGTTCCATTTCAAGAAACTTAGTATACGTACTACTACGACGAACCTGTTTCTCTTGACCCTGTTCGTGTGAGGATATATATTTAATGTACGTAAATGAATCCTAATTTTACAGTATTTGTATTTTTCATACCTCTGGAAACAGTTTGGTGCTTCTTTTGTTTTGAGAGATACAGTACAAGAAAATGATAATTAAATGACTTCTCTTCTTATAAACAAGAACAATTAGAGGACCATTCTTGATATGACATTTTCTGGTGGAGCCCATCACAATAAAGGGCAACTTACTGATGCAGTGATATATCCCTTGGCATTGGCTCTCTTTAATGTTAGCCAGGGTTAAGCACTTAGGATATAATGATCACACATCCCTCCAATCTGGCATCATTGGTCTCAAATAAGAAGGACTTAATACAAAGGTTGTCTCAAAAGGTTGAAGATCCCACTGTATCCGTCACAATTGTCTGTTCAGGTTGTTCAGAGCATTCCTCAGTCTTCCAACCAATGAACATACTCAGTTACCATGCCTTGGCTGCCACATAATATATTCTATTTTTAATTACTGAGAAAAATTTTTTTTTTAAATGTACAAACAGTAATAATAGAGCAAATAATACAGTTAATAAATAAATTGATTCATTGATTGATCATGGTACATTACATCCCTGGCGATGCAACAGCTTAAGTCATATGTCAGCAAATAAAAAAAAGGCTTAAAAGACTGAAGTCAATTAATGCAAGATAAAAAATAAGTAACAAATAACAGAACTTTCTTAAAACAATGTAACACTTACTGTACATTGTGAGGTGAACTGATAATATGTAATGGTCACACTGGTAAATGAAGTAAAAACCCACAATGGAGAAATAAAAGACAAAATCTTGGAGCTGGTATACTAGAACCCTCTTCAGCCAACTAACAGAGCAAAGCAAGGGAGAAAGACATAGAACAAAGGAATCAGGTTACATGACCTGTCTCCTGAGTTGAGGTCGGGTAGGCATTATTAATAATCTTCTTGATGACAGTATTCAGGATCTGGTCAGTGGACCTCGGACCCCAGTTCGCAGACCCGGAATGGAGTGTTTTCCCAGAATTTTTCCTAGCTGATTTTAATTTGGGGGATTAGAGAGTTCCGTGGATTGGTGATTCCAGCTTTGTAGGTAGTACGCAGCTATCAAACAGGGAGGTACTACCGCCAGGGAAGATATTGGAAGCATATTGTGTTGTCTAATGGTAGACCCTGCTGCCATATGGCATCACGAAAATTGTGACCAAGTCCCAGGTTGCTGATCTGACATTCTGCCTCATTTACACACAATTGCGGGGTCTCAATTGTTTCTCTTACTTTGACAACACAACATACATATATTGTTTCTCACTTTTGATTTTTTTTTCATTTTTGTATTTCTTTGTTTCTTTACTATATTATTATTATTATTATTATTATTATTATTATTATTATTATTATTATTTTATTATTCTATTTTTTATTTTTTATTATAAATTTTATTTACTATAAATTATTATTATTATTATTATTATTATTATTATTGTTATTATTATTATTACATTTTTGCCCCCCAGGCCCCGATGTGGGTCAGTGACCTGTGCCCGCGTGGGCTAATCCCTGTAAATAAAGAAAAAAAAAAGCTAACGGGAAGATTACTACAAGCATTCATAAACCATACCATCTAGCTTTCTTATGTTATTTAACCCTTAAGCCCCATGATAGTGTTGCTGCCAGTAACCCCGGGATAAATTGAGAAAAAAAAAACGTTTTTTTTTTCTAAAAACCAGTTTTTGTGATATAGTCCAAAATGCGAAGTCTAGCTTTATACCTAGGTATGTAAATGCCTAGCATTAACTCGCCAGGCCAACATACAGGCAATTAAAACATTTAATTATTACTTAAATACGTAATATTAGGAGGACACGTCACTACCTGGCATTTAATTGCAATTCTCAATACCCCCTCCCGCACCCTCCATCACACGCATTGCTACCGTCATCTTCTTGCCTGGCGAATCAAAAATCAACTTTTCCAAAAATAATTAAAAAAATAAAAAGATTGGCGGGAAAATAGGCGGACGTTCTGGAACGTCACCTGGGGCGCGCTGGTCAGACGTTCTGGAACGTCACCCGGGGCGCGCTGGTCGGACATTCTGGAACGTCACCCAGGGTGCGCTGGTCGGACGTTCTGGAACATCACCCAGGACCTAAGGATTAACAATTGTGATACTGTACTTCAAGGAACATTTGTATACTATCAAGGAATAAAAAAAGCAGCTAAAGCCATTTGCATTGACGCTGGCTGCATGGCCTCAAAGCTCACCATAGCAATGCAACCCAGCTGAGACGCTGCCTCTACTGACACCTAGCAATGGGGCTCTTACACTGTTCCCACGTCCCGCTCCTCCGCTAGCCTGCTAACTCTCGCACACAAAAAAATGTTTATTCCCTTATAAGAAATATTTATTTTACTTTTATTGCACATTATGTAAGAAGGTTTGTGTGTGCATGGAAAAAAAAATACAGTGATCCCTTGGTTAACGAGCACAATTCGTTCCAGAAGGTTGCTCGTTAATCGAAAATTTCATAAACCCATTGTTTCAATGGGTTTTTGGGTAATTGGTTCCAGCTCACCGAAAATTACATACAAACGAAAAATAAATGCAGTAAAGTACACTTACTTTGAGGTGTGCATGTAGAAGGCTCCTGGTTGATGATGATGATGATGATGGGAATTAGAATGGGGGTTGAGGAGAAGGAGAAGAGAAGGCATTAGGGTGGAAGAGAAGTCACCCCATGCTGCCATTTCACCCATAAAACTTTAGTTCACTTGGTGTAATTCAAGATTATTTTCTTTAAATCAACACTGCACTGCGCTATATATTATAAATATGTAAAATATATTTAAAAATGACCAATAATTTGACTGGAAACACAGAAAAAAAGAGTTTATGTTGAAGAGTCTCAAACAAGATGTTCCTTCCTCTGAACCTGTAAACAAACAGACGCCAAGCTTGGTGTGTTGAGTGGCTGTTTGGCGTGCATAAAACTAGTTTCCTGTACTTCAATTATGTTCAATAATTGTTAAAATGACTAAAAAAATTTAATATAAAACTTTTAAAATGATTGAATCGTACAAGCTTCTTGATATTTACTAAAATGGTAAGGAATTTAAGCCCTAGAACCGATTACTGTATTGGCGGACTAATACGACAGCTGGTGAGCAAGTGAAAACATGTTGAGGGGCGCTCGTAAGGAATTCGTTAATCGAGGGATTGTCGTTAACCGAAGTGAAGAATCATACGGAAGGTAATTCGTTAACCGAAATTTCATTAACCGAGGCGCTCGTTAACCGAGGGATCACTGTAAATAAATAAATAATTAGACAATTAAATAAATAAATAAATGAAAAGTTAAGTATGCAGGTATGTACCCGAAATTATAAGTTGACAAATAATCATAAAATAGCTCACAGCTCGACCTGGTATGGAGAGGGCTCAGAGATGTGGCTAGAGTGACGTGTCTAACTTGGCAACAATGTCACCAGCGAGGTTAATAGATTCAAATGAAAATAAAATTATCTATAAATCTTCATTTACATAAGGTATTTATAGATTTAAAGCAACAAATATAGTAAATGAGGTTCTGCTCTTCATGTAGCAACTTAAAGAAAGAATCTAGGGTATGGTAGGCAAGCCCAGGATAAAGAAACTTACTGGTAAGGTGAGCATAACGTGAGCATGTACTGAGTACCGTATATCACGGCCTATAAGACGAAATTTGAACATTAAAAAAATCTGCCCAAAGTTAGGGGGTCGTCTAAACCACCAAGTTTAAAATTCTTACCTCTTAAATATTGTGGTTTAGTGTGTCAAGAGTGGTGATGAAAACATCGTAAGCCACTCACAAGGTCTTACCACTAATTATTTTATACTGAAACTTACGTTTGGCAAGCTGGATTCAAATTAAGATTACCGGTATATTAAAATAATAAAAATGTATTATAAACCTGTCTAACATACCGTAAAAGAGATTTATACCCCTGTAATAAACACAGCTATCATCACACACCCCTCCCCACGCCCCCCCCCATTTGCCAGTGAGGAGACAAGAAAGGAAAAGTGCATTAATTCTTGAAACTATCGACGGTTAATTACAGACGCTCAAGTGACGTCACTAGTGTTTACACTACACCAGCTGGTAATATTTGATGCCATTACTTGAAGTGAATTGGCCTTATTTTAAGTAACTAACTATAAATAAATACAAAAATTAAAAAAAAAGATCAAAACTGAGAAATAATATACTGTATGTATGTTGTGTTGTCAAAGTAAGAGGAACAATTGTGTAAGTACGTAATATTTTTTCACTCAAATCCTAATGAAACACTACTGGAGAACATTCCTTTGTCGCAAAACAGTTTATAAATTAAAGAAAATAATTACAGTGTGTTTAATATATTACAGTATATTATAAATAAATAAATAAAACAAATAATTCGGTAAATCTATTTAAAGTAAATGGAAAATAAGCAAACATGTTATTTACCAAGACCCTTCCGTCTGGCTCAGGGTGAGATGGAGGGGAGATAACAAGCTATTTATAGCCCATTTGAAGTGACCAGTACCCTAATGCACCATAAATAATTCATTGAACATTCATTTTTTGTACATAGTATATTCAGTATATATATATATATATATATATATATATATATATATATATATATATATATATATATATATATATATATATATATATATATATATATATATATATATATATAATATATATATATATATATATATATATATATATATATATATATATATATATATATATATATATTTGTGTAATAAATGTATGTAGTAAGTACATACTGGTAACCTTTTTCACTCAAATCCTAATGAAACACCACAATTAGAATACGGTGGTTGATGTTGAACCACATGTTGTATAAATAGTCACACCACCGAGACGAGGGAACACTCCCACCACGCTTCAGTGACGTCACTAGTGTTTACACTACACCAGCGGGTATAATTTGATGA